CCACCGGGCGAACGAATGGGGTCAGCTTGCCTCCTTCCCCCTGAGACGGAAGCCCCAGGCCAGCACGTGAGAGACACAGTTACCCTGTGTCACAACACCAGTCCCCCGCATGTCAGGGGCCTGACAGACTGAAGTGTACTGACAGCCAGGCCTCTCGGCTCCAATGGGGTCTAAGAGAACAGCCAGTCCGTCGCCAACGGATGTTGTGCCTCTCTCCAGGTTCAAGGGGGGGAAGGGCCCTGTCAGTGGACGCAGGTCCCCAGGGCCCTATGATGTGCCGAGGGGTGACCCAGCTTCTCCGAGGCGCCATTTCCCTGCGCTTAAAACCGCGAGAGTGATGTCGCCCGGCAGGCCAGGGGGTTCGGAAAGCGCCCCGCATATGCCCTCACTGTCGGCGGCACAGCCCCGAGTCCTTCCTGACTCCCCCGAGGTCGGGATTTTTTTAAACCGAATACATAGTCGTGTTGGAGGTTCCGTCCCGTCCTGCACTTCTTCTGCACGTGCAGCCACTGTAATTAAACCCACAGACCTGAATGTGGGGCGTGGGCAACAGACAATTAGGCTAATCACCGCTTCCCGAAAGGATCAATTAGGGCTGAGAAATGGCACCCGGCGCCTGTGAGCCACCGGGTGACCGAGACGATACAGCTGGCAAGACGGGGCTGGGCCAGGTGACTCCGGGTCCTTCCACGCAGGCCCTCTCAGAGGCTTGGGCACGTCAGCACACGCTGTGGCTCTCGGGGGGGGGGGGGGGAGACACACGACTCTACAGAGAAGCACGGACCGGGAGGTGCTAAGTCGAGTCAGTCCCACGGAGCGAGGCACCCCAACCGCCTGGGAACCCCGTTAGCCCAGGTGCAGGCTCGGGGGGCGGGGAGGGGTCCGGCGACTGCCCTCCTCAGAAGCTCGGCGATGCGGCAGCTGCTGGTCTGGGGACCACACTTCCAAGATGAGGGTCTCGGTGGCAAGGAAAGACACCTCACTGACCACTTGGCTGGTGAGAAGAGTCTCAGAATAGGAACCGGCTCCCCAGCAGCCACCCCGGAGTGCCAGCTGGGCCCGGACTCCAAGGCCCGGCTTGCTCTGTTCTCTGGGTCCAGGACCGCTTCTCAGACTCGGTTGTGCACTGACTCCAACGACGAGCTTATAAAAACGGACGCCTGGGCCCTCCCTCAGGCCCTGACTGGGGAGTCCGAGGTGCCGCCGGAGTTTGGGGGGCTTTGACAGCCCCTCCGGGGGCTCCCATACAGCCCGAGTCGAGGTTCAGGGATGCAGATGGCGGGGAGGTCTCACCTTCGATGCCCTCCTCTCTGCCTGCCTGCCTGCCTGCCTGGCCAATCAGTGCCCGAGGAAAACTGCTCCTGCCACTCCGAAATGAAGTCTGAGAGGGTTACCAGGTGGGGACAGGCACTGCTGGCCAAAGCCCCGTCTCAGGATAGGATGGCACCACGGCCAGGCCCCAAACTGCCTGGAGAGGGGCGTCTCCATCTCACTCCGTGTCCAGGTGAGGAGGGACACACACGCTCTCCGCTCTGAGGTCCCAGTGGCCGAAGCAGGGAAGCCTGGACCGTCCGGAGTGACCATCCGGAGGTCCAGTGGCCGAAGCAGGGAAGCCTGGACCGTCCGGAATGACGTGCCCTATGCTGGCATGGGACTACAGTGGGGGTCCTTCAAGGCCATTTCAGAATGAAGTGTCAGACCACATGAGGTTAGCGTGGGGGGGAGGGAGGGAAAGGATGCCCGGCCAGTGTTGCTCAGTGGTCAAGCACCGACCTGTGAGCCAGGAGGTCACCGCTCGACTTGCCAACAGGGCACAGGCCTCCCTGGGAGCAGCGCTCAGGAACTGCCCACATCGCCCGCCCCCGCCAAGGGGGAGGCGGCAGGTGCACCCGTCCCCGCCAGCAGGAACTGGGTCCGGTTGGGGCCAACACCCCGGATCTGGGTCAGCAGCCCAAGTCCACGCCGGCAGCAGGTCAGCGATGACGGAAACCACGCAACAGAGCAAAGCAAACACAAGTAATCTCTGCAGGCCCCGGAGCCTCCCTCTGCACCCGCCTCCTCCCCCACCCCAACCATTTCAACCAAATTCGAGGAAAGAAGGGAAAATCGCCCAGAGCTGAAAACCCGCCCGGTGGAGGGGGAGCTGGCTACCGAACCGCTCCACACCTGTGGCTTCCTGGTGAGACATTTACGAGAGCCAGCGTGGCCCCGGCACGGCTCTAGGAACCTCCAATAAATAAAGCAGATACAAATCTCTGCTCCAGGAAGCTCACGTTTTACTGGGAGCGAGGGAGAAAGTAAGCACAATAACCAAGTGGATTATGTGGTGCTTTGGTAACACAAACAATGAAAACAGCGGCCACAGGGCATTGGGAGCTTCCTCGGGGCAGAAACGCTGAACATACACCATCTCATTCAATCCTCCCCACGGCTCCCGGCCCCACGGCCCGGATGGAGACGCGGGAGGGAAGTCGCACACGACCCCACAGATAAGACAAGGAGCATGGGTAGAGAGGGGGTGACCTCTGCCTGGTACTCGGAGCAGGAAGCCTGGTTTTCTCCCAGGAATCGACGTAGGGGTGAGGGTCCCATCAGAGGGAGCCCCTCTCCACTTCCCACGGCTCTTGAAAGATGGGACAGGGCAGTGGGACCCTCACACCCTCCCTCCTCTCCCAGAACTAAGGCTTCGGGGCTAACCGTCCGAGTTCACATCCCTGCCCCGACAGCTCGCCCTGGGCAAATGGTCTCTCCTCTCTCTGATTTAGAGTGAGATTACAAATCCCTCTCGCAGATGACAGAGGAACAGGTGTCAAGCGCCTGGACAGCGGTGCCCGCCCCATACACACCCCCACTCCTGGGTGAATGCCCCACGCCCGCCTCCCCTCTCCCCTCCTGTGCGGAGAGGCAGGGCCGTGTCTCCAGGCCCCGCACGTGGGCGTGTGGCAGAGGGCTGAGCACGGTACACGTGGATGAGTTAACACGAAGAGGAGGAAGTGTCTGGGATGCTGGGACCTTTCTCAGAACTGAGTCTGGGAGGTAGCGGACTTAAAAACTGCGGGTTCCTGAGCCCAAACAGCTCAGCGGTTGCGCACGGTCCTGTGAGGCGGGAATGTCAAGTGTTGAGTCCACTTTCAAGGAATGGACTGCAGCTCTGCATTAAGCTGGGACCCCTGCCCTGGGCCCTGAACTGTGCACCTCAAGGGCCAGCAGGTCAGGAGCCGTGTGCAGCCTGGAACCCCACCTCTCAGTCTGGCACCCGCGAGGTGCAGAGTAAGACCCTCAGCCCTGGAACCACAGTTCATCTGCGGATGGGCGAGTAGGCACAGCGAGAAGGGATCTGATGATCAATCACAGTGATTCTGCCACGGTCAAACATCACGGAGTCACAGGGGGACGGAGGGGGGGCAGGAAGGATCAGCCTGGGTAAGGGGGGGCTCCGTGGGGCCAGGAACCCACGTGCCACTCCCAGATCTCACAGCCCAGATCAATGTCAGCATGAGGGTGACCCTGAGTTCCATGAGCGGGGCTTTCCTTGTTCCAACGGCCCTGTGTCCACCAGCCTTTGTCTGAGACCCTAGTGTCAGCCTCGGGGCTGCATGGAAAGCCAGGCAGCTGGCAGATGCTTGCAAGATGGCATCGGTGCCCAGGACAGGCTGGGTACCACGTCAGCCAGTGCGAGAGGTCCAAGGCCAACCACCTCTCCAGGCCGAGCCCCCACCGTGCCACCTGCCATGGGGTCACTGCCAGGGTCTGTCTTCCAGAGAGGGCTGTCTCTTGGCCCTGGCTTCGCTCACACCTGGCGGGAGGGATGGAGGGACGGGAAGGGGGAGTGGGGGAGGGAGGGCTCCCTCCTGGGGGGGGGGGTGCAGTGGAACCCCAGTTTTGTGGACAAGGAAATGGGCTCAACCCCCACTTGTGGGCTCGACACCGTACAGGCTCTGAGTAAGAGCTTCTCAGGCCCTCGGCCCTCACAGGTGGGACTGTGTGCTCAGCCCCAAACCGCAGGTGGTGACAGAGATGCTGACACTTGCCCGGGCCACCCAGCTGAGCGGCCAGGGGAGGTCTGCACCCCGAGCCTGCTCCCCGACTTCCAGAATGTGCCCAGGTGCTCAGCGGAGCGGGCAGAGCCAGGCCCCTAGCTCGGCTCCGGCTCACACCAGCCCTTTGTGTTCCTGGCCTGACACCCCCGGTGTGGCTGCCCCGGGCCTGGGCCTCCCCCGGGGCTCCAGGGCCCACGGGGACGCCTGGCGGAGACCCCTTCCCAGGCAGGCTCTCAGGAGGCCGAGCCCAGCACAGCGTGGACCATGAGGCGCTGGATCCACAAAGGGTCCATTGTGAGGGCGGGAGGAAGCCAAGGCCACAGGCTGGGCCCTCTGCACAGCCCTGCCCCAGGCGCCGGGGCCTCTGCCCCTCCCATGGCGCCCCCAGACCCAGCGCCCGGGGCCAGAGCTGGCTGGGGGTCAGGTCTCCTGCTGGGCCCAGCAGGGGCAGCCTGAGCCTGGGGTAACCTAAACCCCCCAGCTGCCCAGCTGGCAGCGGGATACGCTGCAGACCCTGAGGGTCCCTGGGGGCTCCTTCAAGGTGCCAGGGCGCACCTGCCTGCCGGGGTGGGGTCCGCGCAGGAGGCTCTGGGAGGGAGGGAGGGAGGAAGGGGCAGGCTGCGTGCTCCCCAGGGGAGGGGGGCAGGGGGCAGATCTGCGTCCCAGATGGGGGAGGAGGATGCATATTTGTGCAGAGTGAGCACAGGCCGGGCAGCGGGCAGCCGGGGCGCGGGCTCCGGGGAGGACAGGAGGGGGCGGCCCGCGGTGGGTGGCGTTGCCCACAGAGGCGGGGGCTGCACGCGGGGGCCCTCCGCGGCCCGGGCGGGCTTTGTGCGCGGCGGGCGGCCCGGCCCGGGGTCCGAGGGCCTGCGGAGGCATGCACGGGGCTCCAGGAGGAGGAATCGGGGCGCGCCCTGCGCCCCGGAGGGGGCTCCCGGGGCCGGGGCCTCCCGCACTCACCTCCTGAAGTCAAAGGGCATCGTGCCGCCGCCGCGGTGGGAGCTGCAGGCCAGCGGGCCCGGCGCCGCGTGGGTCCCTCCCGCTGCCGCCGCCGCCCCGCCCCCGGCGCCCCCCGCCCCCCGCCGCCGCCGCCGCCGCCGCGGGAAGTGACGCTCCGCGCGGCCCATTGGACGCCGCGGGCCGGGAAGGGGAGGGGGGAGGCGGGCCTTTTGGGGTGAAGGCTCTGGGAGGGGGAGGGAGCCCCCAAAGAGGCCTTCCTCCTTTGCAAGCCCCCCGCCCCCCTCCCCACGGTGCTTTCCTTCCCGCTCCCTTTCCCTGTGCGGCTCTGGGCTGCCTCTCTGAGCTTCTTCTTTATTTTTTATGCTTTGTAAAAATATATATTTTATTGATTTTGTACAGAGAGGAAGGGAGAGGGATAGGGAGTTAGAAACATCCATGAGAGAATCATCGATCAGCTGCTTCCTGCACAGCTCCTACTGGGGATGTGCCCACAACCAAGGTACATGCCCTTGTCCGGAATCGAACCCGGGACCTTTCAGTCCGCAGGTGGACGCTCTATCCACTGAGCCAAACCGGTTTCAGCTATACTTTTTTTTTTTTTTTATTGTTTGAAACATTACAAAGTCTCCTTTTCCCCCCACCCCAATGGAGCTCCCCTCTCCCCCCCACCCCGCCCCTACCCCCAGGACATGCCCTCACCCCCCAGAGTCTGTATCCATTGGTTATGTTTATATGCATGCGCACAAGTCCTTGGGTTGACCTCTTACAGCCCCCCCTCCCCCGCCTTCCGCTGTAGCTGAGCTCCCGCCTTTGGGTTTGTAAGACAGACGCCCGAGTGTGGTTCCACGGCCTGGCCCAGGTTTGGCCGTGCACAGTGTCCAGCTCTGAGCAGGGCGCTGGGCGCCCCGGGTGTGCAAAGGGCACCTTTTACAAAAGGCAGCTCCCGCTGTGCCTCTCTGGGGAAGGCACTTGGCTCGCTGAGCCTCACCCCTTCCTTCCCGCAGTCTGCCCTGGGGAGGTGGGCTCCCACCCGAGGGCCTTCTCCTGGGGATTCAATGAGAATGTCGGGTGGCGACGGGCTTCGGGCACCGAGGAGGGGCTGGGGCCTGCAGCCCCTGTGGCCGGCCCGGTGGCGGCTCCGCGTTCACTCCAGCTGTGCTCGGGACGTGCCCGCTGCCTCTCAGGCAGCTGGCGGCCTGGTCTGTGCCTGGGCCCAGGAGGCCTCTCTGAGCCTCAGTTTCCTTCTGTGAAGCTCACAGGTAGTCAGCATCTCCCTGGACTGGAGGAGGTGATGGTTGAGGTGACACAAGACCCGTGTGGAGGAAACTCATTCTGAACCCCCCCTACCCCCCACCCCCAGTTTCTATTGTTGGCCCCACCGCCAAGGGCCAAGAGCCAGGTGACAGGGAACTTGAAAATCCCAGTGGGGAGGGAGGTAGAGGCCCAGGTCTAAAAACAGGGCCTGCGGGCGGTTTCTTTGTCTATAAATAGAGGGAAATGGTGGTACTTCTTCCCCTGGGAGGGTTCCGCATGCAGTGGCAGCAGGGGGTGGGTGTGGAGGGGCTGGTGCAGGGGGTGGAGTGCGGAGGGGCTGGGGTAGGGTGGGGCTGAAAACCAAACTCTCCCCCCTGGAGCATACACTTGGCCTACCTTCTGACCTCTGGCATTCTCATTCATTCCTTCACTCATTCATTCATTCATTCATTCATTCATTCAAGAGGGCTGGTATTCTTGGGAGAGAGAAGGAAATCTCAGGCTGAAAGGGACACCGAGGGCAGCGGGAAGGGTGAAGGGCCTGGAGCAGGACTATTTGTTGGGGCTGCACAGGAGGGAGCCATGCGGGGTGGGTCTTTGACCACAGTCTCCCTCCTCAAAATGTGGCCCCTGTGCCAGCTGCTGGGGCGCCGTGGGGCAGGTTCCTGGCTCCAGCTCAGGCCTGTGGGATCGAGTGTGCATTGCACGGCCCTCCTGGAGACTCCTTGGCACACGAAGTCTGGAGGCATTGTGCTGAATGGCCTGGCTCTTGGGGGTGGGGTGCAGGGGGAGCTTTTGCATTTCCTGGTCCTTTTACCTGGAGCACATTCCTTCCTTCTTCCACTCAGTCGTGTTTCCCACCAGCCACTCTCCCTTCCTTCATAACCGTGAGCAGAGCCCAGGCTGGAGCCAACCAACATGGGTGCACGGCCCAGCATGTCCATTAGCGTATTTTACCTCTTTCCCTCAGTCTTCTCATCTGGAAAATGGGAGCAATGCTAGTACCTTTGCCAGAGAGCTGTTGTGAGGAGGATATGTGTTAGTGTCAAGGGCTTAGGTCCATGCCTGGCAGAGTGCAAAATGAAAGCTACGGTTGACTGTAGTTGCTATTTTGGGGTGATGACGGAGCTCCCAATTTTTGGCCGGGGAAATGGATGCTCAAAATGAAAGTTTCATTTCCCAGCTTCCCTTGCAGCTAAGGGTGGCCATGTGACCAAGTTCTGGCCGTTGATAGGCCAGGGGAAGTGGCTTGTGGCAGCCTCTGGGGGAGTTGTGTATATCACTCTCTCTGTCCCTTTCTCCATCCAGACACCCAAAATACGGATGTCACCATCCGGAACCCTGTGGTGAAGGCCACACCGAGCAGAGCAGCTATAAGATAGAGAAGACTGGTCCCTGCCACGGAGTGGCACAGTTCCTGTCCTCCAACACCTACCCAGACGTCTCAGCAAGAGAGAAAGAGAGAGGTAAACACCCATCCTGCTTCAGCTACTCTTATTATATATATATATATATATTTTTATATATATACTGTTATTTTATATATATATTATTGATTTTTCACAGAGAGGAAGAGAGAAGGATAGAGAGTTAGAAACATCGATGAGAGAGAAACATCAATCAGCTGCCTCCTGCACCCCCTCCACTGGGGATGTGCCTGCAACCAAGGCACGTACCCCTGACCGGAATCGAACCAGGAACCCTTCAGTCCACTAGCCGACACTCTATCCACTGAGCCAAACCGGTTTCGGCCAGCTACTGTTCCTTTGTGGCTTGAGACTCTTACACTTGAACCAGGTGCCAGAGCACCTGCCCAGCCCCAACTCAAATACTGGATGCCGTATAGGTCCGCGGCCCCATTATATGCTCGCCTGGCACCCTCCAGTTTTCCTCGGGAGAACTGTCCCCGTGTGTGGTTAGGTTGTTGCCATTGGCTAATGTCTCCCCCTCCATCTCAGCTGGAAGCTCTGCAGGGTGGATGGGTGTCTGTCTGTCCAGCCGTCTCCTGCACCCAAGGAGAGACTGCCTGTGGAGGGGTGTGAGGCTGGGTGTGGGAGGCTGGCTGGAGGCACCCAGGGCGGCAGGCCTTCCCGTAGAGCAGAGGGCGGGAGGGGGGCACAGCCTGAGGATCTCGGTAGGGACTGCGTCGACCTATGAACCAGAAGGTTAAGTTGGATTCCCGGTCAGGGCATGCCTGGGTTGCAAGCTTGATTATTCCCCGTGTGGCACATGCAGGAGGCAGCCGATCCATGATTCTCACTCATCATGGATGTTTCTCTCTCTCCCTCTCCCTTCCTCTCTGAACATATATTAAACAAACAAACAAACAAACAAAAAACCTCAAGCACCCTTACAGAACGGCCCCAGCTGAGCTGCCTCTGAGTTCCCAAGGCTCATAAACGATGAGAGAGATAACGCACGTCGATCTGAAGCCAATGAATCGTGGTGCTCAGTTTCAGGGCGGGAGCTAGTCTACACAGCCTGTCTCCCAGCCGGGCTGGTGAAGTGGAGAACCAGCTGGGCGGCCGGGACTCACTGCTGCGCTAGCTGGTGTCTGAGGATGAGAGGGAGGACAAGACACTCACCTGTTGCAGGTCGCCTCCGACATCGCCGCCCCAGAGTCCGCCTCTTGGCATCCACACCCTCTGTGATCCCCTGCCTCAGCGTGTAGGCTGAACGTGTTGACTCACTTCTAACAAACAGAAGACGGCGGAAGTGATGGCATGTCGCTGCTAAGACGATGTGTGAAAAGATGTGGCTTCTGTCTCGGACACTCTTTCTATCGCTCAGATCAATGGTCCTGGGCAAGCCAGCGGCCCTCCCTCCTGAGAGGCCCCAGGTGGCCAGCTTGCCGGAGGCTCTTCACACAGACAACAGCTGTGAATGAGCTTAGAAACGGACCCGTCAGGCCCAGGCCCGCCTCGAGGTGACCGCAGCCCGGCACAAACAAACACGTGGTCCTCAAAGCTTGCTGAGAAGATGAGGTGGAGTGCCCAGCACATAGTAGGTGCTAAGGAAATGCTTGCCGAATCCACCAGTAAACAATCAAGTCAGTAAACAATGGGATGTTCTATCGGGTAGAATGTTCCCTGGGTCCATATGCTCACGCCCCTTCACCCCCTCCTGCAAACGCGTCACGGGAAGTTCTTAAGCAGGGGAATGGCCGGGTCAGATTTGTTTTTCTATAATGTGAAACGGGTTTGTGTTCCATGGGTGTGGCTGCTTGCACTGTGGTCTGGATAAAGAGAGAGATTAAGAAATAATAATTCTTTGTTCGTTCAGAGAGGACTTGAGGGTAACTTGAGCCTCGTAAAAGGTAGGCCTCTGACCAAACAAGTCTCTTTTCTTATTCTAATAAAGTCTCATGACCAGCCCTAGCCGGTCTGGCTCAGTGGATAGAGCATCGGCCTGTGGACTGAAGGGTCCTGGGTTTGATTCTGGCCAAGGGCACATGCCTGGATTGTGGGTTCGATCCCCAGTAGGGGGTAATGATTCTCTCTCATCATTGATGTTTCTATCTCTCTCTGCCTCTCCCTTCCTCTCTGAAATCAATATATATATATATTCTCATGACCAGCCAGAAGACATTCATTCATTCATTCATTCATTCAGTTATTCACCGAATTCCTCTTTATGACAGGTCCTCTGGATATAGAAATAAACATGACAATTCCCGGTCTGCAAGAAGCAAGAAGGTGGTGAGCAGAAGTGTGGTGCCATTGAAAAACAGGGGCAGGGCCCCAATTCCTTGTGCACCTGTAGTTTT